GTCGAAGTAGTAGTAGTAGTAGTAGTAGTTGTAATAATATGAATAATCGTAGTCATCCGAATATCGGAAATTCCAATTAGAATCCCGAATCTGGGAAATTCCTATTCAAATCCAAATGTGGAGAATTCCAATTGGAATCCGAAAATAAAGAATGTTTATCGGAATCCGAATATGAAGAATTCCTCCTGAAATCTGAATATAGGGATTTCCGTGCTGGCATTCGTATATAAAGAATACACATTGCAATCCGAATATAAGGGGTTTCTACTGGAATTTGGAATCCGAATATAATGAATCCCTATGGAATCCGAACGTGGGATTCCGAATGGAATCCGAATATATAGAGAGTTATTATTGGAATCCGTGCATAAAGAATACTTATTGGAATCCAAATATGTGAAATTCCTGTTCGAAACCGAATATAAAGGGTTCTTATTGCAATCCAAATGTACGGGAATTCCTAATGGACTCCGAATATAGGAAATTCTCCATATATTGAAACCCGAATCTGGAGAATTCCGATGGGAATCCGAATCTAGGAAATTCCTACTGGAACCCGATATAGGGAGAAATAATAGTAGTAGTAGGCGTAGTAGTAATAGAAGAAGTAGTAGTAGTAGTAGTAGTAGTAGTAGTAGTAGTAGTAGTAGTGGTCGTAGTAGTAGTAGTAGTAGTAGTAGTAGTAGTAGTAGTAGTAGCAGTAGTAGTCGTAGTAGTAGTAGACGTAGTAGTAGTAGTGGTAGTGGTAGTAGTAGTAGTAGTAGCAGCAGTGATATTCATAGCAGTAGTAGCAGTGATAATAATAGTAGTAATAGAAAAATAGCCGTAGTAGCAGTACTTGTACTAGCATAACAAAAAGAACTCGAAACAGTGGTAGTAGTAGTAGTAGTAGTAATAGTAGCACAAGTGTACTAGCAGCAGCTAAGGAACAGCAGTCGTAACAGTAGTGGTAGTAGTGGTGGTAGTAGCATCAGAAGAACTAGTAGCAGTAGTAGTAGCAGTAGTAATGGTAGTAGTAGCAGTAGCAGTAGCCTCAGCAGTAATGGTAGTAGTAGTAGTAGTAGTAGTAGTAGTAGTAGTAGTAATAGTAGTAGTAGTAGTAGTAGTAGTAGTGGTAGTACTAGTCGTCATCGTAGTATTGGTAGATGTAGTGTTTTTGTTCGTCGTACTAGTAGTAGAAGTTTTCGTAGTAGTAGTAGTAGTAGTAGTAGCAGTAGCAGTAGTAGCAGTAGCAGTAGCCGTAGCAGTGGTGGTAGCAGTGGTGGTAGTAGTAGTTGTAGTAGTAGTAGTAGCTGTGGTATTAGTGGGAAAAGTAGTGGCAGTAGTCGTAGTAGTAGGAGTAGTAGTAGTAGTAGTAGTAGTAGTAGTAGTAATAGTAGGGGTAGTAGTAGTAGCAGTAGTAGGGCAGTAGTGGTTGTACTTGTAGTAGCCGTGGTAGAAGTAGTATGTGTTGGCGTAGCGCTCGTAATAGTAGTAGCGGCAGTAGTAGTAGAGAAAGCATACGAGTCATCGTAGTAGTTGCTGTAGCTG